CAAAATGTGTATGAATGGAAAACCAATGTGCTCTGTAGCTTATATTCAATAAGAAAGAAAAACAACATCCAGAACTAGGTGACTGCTTGGTGAGTGCTGGGGAAGGGCTCTGAGGCCCAGCTGTGCTCACCCTCATCGCCCTCCATCCCCATGCCAGAGCTGTGCACTCTGAGAGGGGGACCCCCAGGAGAACAGGGCAGACCCAGCACCTCCCCTGCCTGCAGTAGGAGCTCCACAGGAAGAGGAGAGGCAGACACCATGAAGGGCACCCCAAGATCCTGAGCAGATTCCAAGGGTCCAGGCAGAACAGTGCCAAGTTCAGGTGCATGAAACATGGGTCTGAGATTAGTGGGGAGTCTCTGGTATATGTTACGCCTCAGACCAACCGTGATGGCCATCAGAGGAACCCCAAGACCCTTGTAGGGCTCCTTTCATCCTCAGGAGGTACAGAGATCTCAGGACACCAAACGCCTATTGGTCCACACTACACCATCCTGCCCTCCACACCAGGACAGAGCCCAGCGGGCATCCAGGACTGGCAGTCTCACCCACGGCATCCAGGCCAGCACCTGCAGTCTGGCTAAAAATAGAAACAGCACCTCCAGAGTTTGGGAACAAGCTCCTCGGGCTGAAGACAGCAGCGGGAGGCACTTTTACGACGTGCTGCCTGGACACCCGGGGAATCCCTGTGCTGGCTGGCCACCTGGGGAACCTCTGGCCGCTCCCAAGACCTGAAGGAAGTAAGGGCATTGCCTCTAAAGGCCCCTCCTGCTGATCCTCCTGGACACTGGAGACTATGAGGGGTTCAAGCGTGACCCTCTATGAGCCCAGGCCCAGCTTGGAGTGTCCGATGGGACAGCAGGCTGCCAGGGAGAGGGCAGGACCGCCCGCATGGGTGCATGTCCCGAGCTGGGTGGAATCCTATCGCTGCCACTTTAAACGCCTTCCTTTTTAAACAAGGGTCCACAGTTCATTTGCTTTGTGGCTTCGCTCACGCAGAGCATCTCCTAGAAATGGAAATCAAACTATGTCCTTTGTGTCTGGCTTATTTCACTCGGCAAGATGTTTGTGAGGTTCGCCCACATCGTAACATGCACCAGGACGTCCTTCTCTTAGGGTTGGGTCAGAGTCCGTCATTAATCAGTGGACATCGGAGTTCTTTCCATCTTGTGACTAGTGTGGGTAGTTCTGCTATGCACATTCATATCTGTGTTTTTGTTTGAACACTTGCTTTCTTTGGGGTATATACCCACAAGTGGAGTGCTGGGTCAGATTATAATCCTGTGTTTCAATTACAGAGAAATCTCTAAACTGCTTTCTACAGAGATAGCACCATTTGATCTTACCACCAGCAATGGGCAAGGATCCCAATTCTCTACATCCTTGAATAGCTATCAAGTGGAGCTGAAGAGGTATCTAATTGTGATTTTGATTAAAATTCCACTAATGAACCCATTGAAGTTGTCAATTATTTAATTTTACTCAGATCCACAATCAATAACTGTAGTAGCAGCAGTCAAGAAATCAAAAGATGTGTTGACGTGGGCAAATGTACTGTCAAAGACCTCACCAACATGCTACAAACAATGGCATCAGTTTAAAGACTAAGGTGCACCTGGCCTTGGCCCAACGATGCTCCTTTCAGTTGCTTCCTATGCCTCTGAAAGTTGGACAAAGAATAAAGAAGAATTGTTTCCTTTGAACTGTGGTGTTGGTGGCTACTGTTGAGTATATCATGGACTGCTAGAAGAACAAACACATCTGTCTTGGAGGAAGTACAACTAGAGAGCTCTGTAAGCGAAAGGGTGGTGAAATCTGATCTCACATAATTGGGCCATGTTGTCAGGAGGGACATCAAGCTGGGAAAAGTCGTGGAAAGAAAGGAAGACCCTCCACAAGACAGATGGACAAAGACCACCACAGGGTCCAAGCTTAACAGGAACGGTGAGAAGGGTGCTGGAGAAGGCAAGACTCCAATCTCTTGTTTACGGGGTCATTAGGAGTCACAGTTGACCATAGCTGACTTGACTGTGCCTAATAACAGCCATACAATTGACCATTTTAACACCTCCTTTGGAAAAATGTCTATTTCAGTCCTTTGCCCAGTTTTCAATAGGGCTATTTTTTCTCTTTTCATCATTGAGTTGTGAGAGCTCTTTATATATTCTAGACCCTTACCAGATATATGATTTGCAAATATCTTCTCTCATTCTATGAGTTGTTTTTCTTCATAATGCCCTTTGATGCATAAAATTTTTTCATTCTAATAAAGTCTAGTTTATCTGTTTCTGTTGTTCCTTGTGTGATTGGTGTCAGATCTAAGAAACCATAATCAAGGACCTCCATAACAGTGCTAAGGAGCAACGACGTCACTTTAAAGACTAAGGGACACCTGCCCCAAGCCATGGTGTGTGCACCTGCGTGTGTAGAAGGTGTTCTAGGGGCTGGTGTGGGGCTCCTGAGGCTGCTGGAGAGTCTCAGGAATCTTTCTCCATCCTATTTCCCTTCCAGTTTCCAAACTGAGCATTCTGAAGACGCCACATGGATTTTCCCCCTAGGGGCATAAAGAGCTCTGGGGTTCAAGTCTGTAGGAAGTGTGCTGCCAGCTCAAAGGGACACCTCTCTTGAAGTTTGACCCCACCAGCAGCCGGCTTAGCAGGAGAGAGATGGGCAGTCTCCATCGCTGTGACTTACAGCTTCCACAAACGTCCTGGACGGTCCACTGTGAGTTGGTTCTGGCTCCAAACAGGGAGTAAATGAGTTTTCCCGAGGGCACTGGGTGCAGTGCTCACACTCAGTGCTGTTGTTTGTTGTTATGTGCTGTCAAGCTGGAAGGGACTCGTAGCCGACCTTCTGAGAATTTTCGAAGGCAGTAAACTGCACCAGGGAATATTGCCCGTCTTTCTGCTGTGGGGCAGATGGTGGATTTGAACCGCATGCCTTCACATAGGCATTGCAACTGCCACCAGGCCACCAGCACTCAGTGGAGAGGAGCCTTTTACAGCCCCTGGGACCACCAGTGTGAAAGTCCAAGGGCTCCGGCTTTGCGGGAAACATCTGCCTTATGGCCCCCGGAGTCTCAGCCAGTGTGAGGGTGCAGGGGCTCTGGGTTTGTGGGAGGGGCCTTTTACAGCGTGAAATTCCAAGGGCTCGGGCTGTACTGGGTGGACCTGACCTACAACACAGCCAGCCCTAGGGTCTTGGACTCGGGCCTTGCCAGACAACACAGGACGGATGTGCATCTGGGCCAGCCAGCCATGCGTCCAGCCTTATTTGGTAAGAGCTGTGCAGGTCGGCTGGGGAACTGAGTTCACACCCAGAGGCCAGCGGCCCTACTGCTACCCAATGGGCCCTCCACCCACCCACCTGTCTCCCGGCCAGAGGGCAGCAGGCGTGGACGGATCCAGATCGGGCCCCATGGGATCCCAGGCCAGTGGGTAAGGGATTCCCTGACTTTTGCCTATATATGGCCGAGGTGAGGTGGCGAGCTGGAACGGGCCCACAGCCCCGGAGGTATTGTTTTAAGAGGGTATTTGGCAGCGGGCGCTTGCATTCTTGTAAAAACCTGGCAGGGATGTTGTTTGACAACTCTGACAGCTGGCTGGAACCCGACGGGGGCCCCCCCCACAGCCGGCCAGCTTTGGGGGAGGGGACACTGGTAAGCCCTGGACAATGAGGGAGGCAGGTGCAAACTTGAGCCCAGACAGGGCCCACCCCCCTGGACCTCAGTCTTCTGAGATCTCAATGAGAAAATGGGTATGGAAGGGGGGACAGTGGTCACCCCAGGACGAGCTGTCAGTGCCAGGTTCCACGGAAGGTCCGTCTTTGACACCTCATCCATGCCTCAAGGTGGAAAGCCCCGACCAGGTCCTGAGCCCGTTCAGCTCAGGGGCACCCACCATCTAAGACTCAGTCAGACTGAACCAGTCACAGACAGCCCATCTCCAAGGAGACAGACAGATGTGCCTTCAGGACAGGCTGACAAGAACAAGCTTTCTGTACAAGTGACCTTGAAGCTCCGTTCAGGTGACCTCGGGCCACTGAGAGGACAAGGGGTCAGTCCTGGGGGAAAAGGGAGAGTGACAGACACTTTAAGTAGAGGAGTCCAGGGATGTGGTAGCTAAGCAACTGGCTACTACTCCCTAGGTCAGTGGTTCAAACCTGTCAACTGCTTCAAAGGACAGAGATGTGGCTGTTCACTCTAAGAGTGACCACCTTTCAAACCCAGTGGGCAGGTCTGCACCATCTACAGGCCGCTAGGGGTCAGGACAGGTCTGAGCTGTCTACAGGCCTCTGGGAGTCAGGACAGGTCTGAGCTGTCTATAGGCCTCTGGGGGTCAGGGACAGGTCTACACTATCTACAGGCCTCTGGGGGTCAGGGATGGGTCTACACTGTCTACAGGTCACTGGGAATCAGTTGAATAAATAAATGACACTGGGTTTGGGGTTTTCCCTGCCACAGGGAAGGAGAGGACAAGGCCTCATCCTCATTAAGCTGGGGGTCCAGTGGGGCCACAGAAATAAGGTACAGTGATTGGACTTCTTGTGTTCTAGCTGGAAGATTCGGCCTGTGCAGTGGCCCTGAGGCAGGGGACATGTCCTACCAGGAGGCCAGTGTGACCAGAGCAGAGTGATTGATGGGAAGATGGAGTTGGTGACAGAGGTCGAGAGCAGGGTCATGGGGTTACAGGGGGTCTAAACTACACACTCTCCTTCATGATCAGCTGTCCACTCTGTGTGCTGTCCTGAGTTTGTTTTCTCATCTATTACTCTGGCATCTAGTGGGGTGACCCTCCCCTACCACCTGCTGTCCCACCTGCTCCACCCGTGAGAGTGACCAAACCACTGTCCCCAGTTGTGCAGCATTTCATCTGCTGGTGGCCTGGCCAGGGGCTCCGGGCACTCTCCAGAGCTCAGAGAGGAGGGAACAGCCAAGTGCCCGTCCCACCTAATCTTCCCACCTGCACACCTGGCCCCACGCCCACCTCTGCCCACATCAGGAACGGACAACGAGGAAAGCAAACAGCAGCTTCACGCAGCCGCCATGGCCTCCCGCCAGCACCAGGGCACCGGCGCCAGCTCCTGGGCAGAGACAGCTGAACAAAGAGGGGCAGGGCCTCTCAGCTGGGAACCCGCCTCTGGACACAGAGCCCGGGAACAGGCCCGGGAACCTCGGCGGCGGGAGGACTCCCATCCCAGTGAGAGACTTGTCCTTGACACACACCAGGGCTCTGTGACCTGGGATGAGCGTCTCCACCTCTGGACCTCAGTCGACCCATCTGTAGAATGGAAATGCCGCAACAGCAGGGACTTACCAAGGAGTTTGCTGGGCGCCGGGCTGTGTTAAGGACAGTGCCCAGAAGAAAGTGTGTTGTATAAGGTCACAGCGTCCAAAAGAAAAAGCTGTGCTTGTCGATGGTTCGTAAATACAACGCCACCGAGAAGTCTGCAGACAGAGCAGAGCTGCCGCGTGTGATCACCAAGGTGGCTCCCAAAAACTCCATGAACTTGGAGAAACGATGAGTTTACAGTTGTTCCGGTCTTTGACTCATAGGGTCACTATGAGTCATCTACGACTCGAGGGCACTTAACAGCAACAACAAGAAAAGAATAAACTCACACACCATTCTACTCTGACACACACGGGGAGCTGCCATGAGGAGAGAGCTTGGCAGCAGTGGGGTCACTGCCTTTATAAAGAGGACTAGCGGGGAGCGCCCATGCTCAGACACTCGCCCAGCTCTCAAGCACCTCAGTGAGTGACCTGGGAGGGAGAGCTGAGCTTCCCTCACCTCCACATACCCACCTGAGAAATGGGACCCTCATCCCAACACAGAACCCATGCAGGGAGGAGGCGTGAGGCCGTGTCCAGCATCTTGCCATGACAGAGCACCGTCAACGATGTCCAGACTGGCCCTCAGCTCCTCTCTGTTGTAAAAGCTGTAGTTATTCATTCTTCAGTTGTGACTTGAGTGAAAGTTTCCGAGGTCTCCTTTTCAATCATGTATTCACATTTAGTCATATTAATTACGATACTCAGAATATCTCATCATCCATCCTCTCCACGTTGTGAAAGACCCTGTGCCCATCTGAATAAGCGTTCATTCTCTTTATTGATTGCTCCCTCTTCTTCTCCCCTCTTCTGCTCCGTGGTAACCGTGTTGTTGAGAACACACGCGGCAGAATGGACCCGTCCGGCGCTTCCTCCGTGTCCGCCCAGTGACATTGGCCACGTTCTCGGGATTGCACAACCGCTCTCACTTGGCTGTTGTGAGCTGTTCTTTCCCCGTCGATGTAAACGCACGTTGAATCTTCCAAGTGGCAGTTGTCACTTTGATCTGGGATCAGGTTGCTGTTATTACATGGAATCGACCCATCGCTGGCCCTCCAGCGGGTATTTGGAGGCACCGGACAAGACTGCTCAATTTTCTCCATCACAGCAGCTGGTGGACTCGAACCACCTGTCTTTGGTGTTTCCAGAGCAGTCCCTTACCCACTAGACCACCAGAGCTCCCATATAAACAGGTGTGAGAGAGTACATGCCCCCGGCAGACATTCCTTACAAGTTAACGGAAACTGCTGCTTGGGTTTTTGTTGTTTTTTTTTCCTTCTTTTTTTTTTTTTTTTGCTGCTTGGTTTTAAGAAGCCTTCAAGGGTATTTGGTTTCAGGTTTAAAGATGATCACAGTGCCCTGGCTGCAGGGGGCCACCCACCCCACTATTTTAAGTAGTGCCACCACCAGCGTTTGTCTCCTGAGGAAGATTTCCACGGGTATTTCAGGGGCTCTGGTGACCTCGTGGTAAAGAGCTGTGCTGCCAACCCAAAGCCACTTGGTCTGAAACCACAGCTGCTCTGTGGGAGAAGGAGGGGCAGTCTCCTCCTGTGCGACTTGCTGCCTCTGGAGACCCATTGGAAGGGCTTCCCCAGACAGAACCCAACAACCTAAAGCTGAAATGCTGCTTCAGAGGGCTTGTTGTGGTTGTTATGTGCCATCAAGTCAACCACGACTCACAGTGACCCTGTGAACAATCGCTCTGAACTCTGCACTATGCTGAGGCAATCTTGTCTCTGATACATCTACTCCTATTACCCCAGTTACTGTATCAATCCATCTCATCAGGGGTTTCCCCTCCTGTGCTGTCCCTCCACCCTTCCAAGCACGAGGTCCTTCTGCAAAGACTGGTCCCTCCTGGCCACGTGCCCAAAGTATGTCAGACGGAGCTTCCTTGCCTCTAAGAGGCAGCCTTCTTCACCCTCTCCAGAAAGTTTTTTTACTGTGCTGATTTCAGAGTGTAAATCTGTGTCTGCTGACTGCAAACTGGATGTGTGTATTTCTCACCATGTCTGCCTGCACTGGGTTTGACAATTATTTCTCTCTTTTAATCACTGTAGCTCCTCCTCATTTACTTTGGGCATGTGGCCAGGAGAGATCGGTCCTTGGAGAAGGACATCATGCTCAGAAGGGTGGACAGACAGCGCAGGAGAGGAAGACCCCGGATGAGATGGATTGATACGATAACTGGGGCGATGGGGGTCGGTGTGTAAGAATTAGTGAGACTGGCTCAGGACAGGGAAGGGTTCAGAGAGGCTGTACATAGGGTCGCTATGCATCGCAGGCGACTCTACCAATAACATTCTCTGACAGGTTTGGAAGCAGGAGTGGCATCCACTTCCTAAACAACAAGCCTCCAGAAACTCTATGAACTTTGATAAGTGTCGATAGTTGTAGAGGGGCTTCAGGCCTTTTGTTTGTAGGGTCACTATGAGTTGTGCTCTACTCCAAGGCAATCAACAACAACAACAAGTGAGACTAGTGTTGAATATTTTGGAAGAACATTCTTCTACATTGTACATCACTCTTTGTTGGTTTGCTGTGCTGAGGTAATCTGGGTTTGCTGTGATATTGAACCATGTACCATTGGGGTGTCAAATGCCATAATGACTTCCCAATGTGGACAGTGTTTGGTGGAGCTCCCAGTTGTAAAACAGGTTTGGAAGCAGGAGTGGCATCCACTTCCTAAACAACATGCCTCCAGAAACTCTATGTACTTTGATAGTTGTAGAGGGGCTTCAGGCCTTTTGTTCTTAGGGTCGCTATGAGTTGTACTTGACTTGAAGGCAGTCAACAACAACACCACAATCAGTGTATGAAGGAGTTTTCCTCCACACCTTTTTACACTCCCTACCAAGCTGTGCACACACCCATATGTCCCACATCCATATGTCCCCACATCCTCCCACACCATATGTCCCCACACCCATATGTCCCACACTATATGTGCCCAGCTGTGTGTCTCCTTCACGATACATGGCCGTGGTCACCTCCTGGTGCCCATCCTCCATCGTCGGTTAGCACCTCAGGGACAGTACCATAGGTGAGCCAGCAGGCAGGTCCACATTGGAGCAGCTTCTGAGCAGAATGGAAGTGTGAAGGCTGGGACGTCAGTGAAAGTCCCCAGCCGGCCCGTCTGCCCTCAGCATCCTCAGAGCTTGCTGGCTGAGGTGACTCCAGGACAGAGTCGCTGGAACCCAACAAACTCCAAGGTCCCAGGGCTGGCGGCAAAGGAGGACCACAAGGACTGGGTCACCTTTGTGACAGGTGAGCCTGGGGAAGCGTCAGTGTCGGGAGAAGGAAAGTCAAAGCCAGGGTCGATTCTGCTCCCAGTGACCCGTTAGGACAGTGCAGAACTGCCCCCAGGGTTCCCAAGGCCATTGTCTCTACAGAGCGGGCTGCCAGGTATTTTCCCTCAGAGCAGCTGACAGGTTCAAACCGCTGACCTTTTTGTTAGCAGACGGCTGTTTATCCACTGTGCCACCAGGGCTGTGTTTATGGAGGGCCCACAAACGTAGACTCAGTAAATGAGCACATGAAGGGAGGGGGGGGTCCCAGCGTCCACACAGGGGCTGTGGAGGAGGGGCAGGTGGGGGACCACAGTTTTGCCCAAGGCCTCTGGGCATCCCTGAGTCATCCTGTGCCCGCAGACCCTCTGCCCTCAGGGTTCTTAGGAAACATAAACTTCCTTCCTGGCCGGAAACGGCACAGACCCTGCCACACCCCAGCTCAGAAGGTGACACCAGCTCAGAAGGTGACGCCCTGAGAGGCCCCACCACCAGAGTCTAAATATAGACGGCTGCATGTGAGGGGGAGGAAGTGGCTGCCTGATTAAAGCCCTGGGGTTTGCTTCACCCCGATTAAGACACTAGTCCTCCAGGAAGCGGAAATGCAGTGAGGTGAATTCAGGCCCCGGGTCTTCAGGCAGGGTCACAGGGGAACGCGAAGGGACCAAGCAGGTGGCCTGGCCCCTGGCCACGGGGTGGTCAGTCCCCTGCCCGAGCCCTGGCTTGCCTGGCCTGCGATTTGAAAGGGAGTGGATGGACCATATTCAGCTCTCTGACAAGGCGCTGCGTGCAGGTCCACAGCCCGGCTCCCAGGGCCTTGTGTCCCCATCTGCAGAATGTGTTGATGGTAAGTGCATCTGCCCAAGGTGGTGTGAGGACGCGATGAGGCCCGTTCCGGGCACACACGGGCTCAACAACGTTCACTGTCATGGACAAGGGGGCCCTTGATCAGAAGTGACTGACAGCGTCAGGATGGGGACAGCAGAGCTTTAAGTCAATCCAGGCCCTTCTGGGTAACGCCCTGAATGAATCTGCCCTGCAGTCTTCCTGCCAGGATCAGAGCAGAGGTGGTGCCTGGGGGCCACGGCAAGGTGCCCAGCAGGTGGGCTTAGTCCCACCTCATCCTATGCTCCAGCAGTCCCCCACTGCGGTTCCTCCACGATGCCATTTGAAGATGGCACAAGAGCATAGGTCCACAGAAGGCCAGAGGAGACCACATCCACTACCACCAGAGTGGACGTCCATGTGCTGTTGAATGAGGCACCAAGTACTTCCTTCAACACCGCAAAGTGCCCGCCCCCGCCAACCAGTCCATTCCAACACAGTCACCCTCAGGACACAGGGCAGCAGTCCCGCAGGGTTCCCGAAGCGGTCATCTCTATGGAAGCAGACCGTCTCATCTGTCTCTACAGAGCGGCTGGTGGATTTGAACCATGGACCTTTTGGCTACCAGACATAGTGCTTTAACCAGTGCATTGACAGGGCTCCAAGCGTCTCAACTTTCAAAAAAGCACATCCGGCAAGACCACAAGCAGAAACAGAGAGTGTGCAGCGTCAGGATTAAAACCACGTCGACATC